CATGTCGACCCCATGTGTTTCAGAGTAGAACTGTGTTCCATCCGGTTTTCAATGGCTGATTTTTCAGAAGTAGATCGCCGAGCCTTTCTTCCTGAGGGTTCAAGCCACCAGTATTTCCATTAGTTGCCCAGCACTTAACCATTTGTGCTGCCCAGGGACTGCTCGATGTCTACAATACTCTTTATGTAGCTTTCAAGCACCTCCACAATCTGGCCTCAATTTATCTTCCAGTCTTACCTTTTACTCCTTCTGGTCATGAGCCACTTGCTATTCACTATTTTGAACACACTTTTCTGCCTCCAAAACTTTATTCTTGCTATTTCCTTCCATTGGAATGTCCTTACAAATTCTACACAATCAAGTCACAGCTAAAATATTACTTCTTCCATGTAGCTATCTTTGATCATACCAGCCAGAAGTCCTCTGAACATAAAACTATTTCTGAACGTTTTTATGAAATACATATTATAGTTATTCATATAAGTTTTGTGCCTGTTAGATCACATGTACATTAATGATAAAATCCCTGATTAATTTTTCTTCATTTTCTCACATGGTACACTAACAATATATCTTGTACAAAATAGATAATCAGTGAATACTGATGGATAAATGAATGAATAGATGTATAGCTGGTCCTTAGATTTTTCACAATCCAATTTCTTCCTTTGGTTTTGCTAAACATTAGCATAACCATTTTATCATTTATTCAGATGTGTACATACATACATACAGGTAATCCCCAGGTTACAAATGTCCAACTTATGGACAACTCGTACTTGCCCTTTAATGTTATGTAAATTTTCCCTCACTTTGAACCGATCGAACCAACCCCTACTCACAAAGAATTCTTCATCACAGTCACCTTAACTTGCTAATTGTGCAGCTTTTAAAACATTGAAAAGTCTTGGAGCCTTTTCTTGCACTAAAACAAACAAACAAAAAACAACCAAACTCGTTGCTGTCAAGTCAATTCTGGCTCATAGCGACCCTATATGACAGACTAGAACTGCCCCATAGGGTTTCCAAGGAGCGGCTGGTGGATTCCAACTGCCACCCTTTTGGTTAGCAGCCAAACTCTTAACCACTGAGCTTGCACTAAAATAAAGAAAATAAGAACTGTATGCACCTGTTCTGACTAACCTACAAATTCAACTTAAAGACACAGGAACGTATCTCATTCATAACCTGGGGACTACCTGTACACAGATTTTGTGGGTAAGTCAGAACAGGTGCATATGGTTCTTATTTAGCCCGACTATAGTGCAAGAGGAGCCCTGGTGGTGCAGTGGTTAAGAGTTCGGCTGCTAACCAAAAGGTCAGCAGTTCGAATCTACCAGCCACTCCTTGGAAACTCTATAGAGAGGTTTTACTCTGTCCTATAGGGTCACTATGAATTGGAATTGACTTGAGGGCAATGGATTTGTTTTGGGTAATGGGTAGTGGAAGAAAAGGCTGGAAGACTTTTCAATGATTTAGAAGCTGCACATGTGCAAGTGAAGGTGATTGTGAAGGAGAATTTGTTTTGAGTACGGGTTGGTTCAATCATTTCAAAATGAGAGCAGATTTACATAACATGAGGTCGTGGTTCATGTAGACTATTAGTCCTACAGACTAGTTTACTCTCTGAATCTTTGGTTTCCTTCTTTCTCTTTTACTCCAGACATGTAGAAGCAACTAGTTGTATCTTAGATAGCCACTTGCAAGCTTCTAAGACCCCAGATGCTACTCACCAAACTAGGGGATAGAATACAAATTTTATGCACTATGTTATGCCAATCGATCAAGTTATCTTACAAGGCTATGGTCCTAAGCCTTCAGACCCTGTAAACGAATCCCACAAGGTGTTCAGAAAGAAAACAATCTTGGTAACCAATGAGTGTAGAGGGAATACAGTTCTACCAAAGGTCTATTACCTTGGGCAAGTCACCACCAATTCTCTTTTGAATCCCAATTTAGCGTCCTAACCCAAGTGTATCCCCTTCCCATTCTGTCTCCACACTGCTCCTAGGATAAAGTCCAAAATTAATAACAAACGTCTATATGATCAGCTTCTGCTTACCTCTCCAGATTCTTCTTAAAACTCTCTCCCCACTGCTCTCTGAGCTCCACCACCTGTGCATTTTGTTAATTCCTTAAAAGCATCATGGCCCTTCTTCCACACACTTTCTCCATTACCTGGGCTTCTCCTTCTCCTTTCTCCTATTGGCTTAGTGAAACCCTATTCAAATTTCAGATATTAATTCAAACATTATTTTCTCAAGGAGCTTTTTCTGACACCACTCCCAGCGGGGTCAAGTTCCCTTATAATCCACTCTCATAAAACATACCATTTAATAACACTTTTCTCAACTTTTACTTTATACTTATTTGTGTGATCAGTTGATTAAATTATGTCTTTCTCTCCTGCTAAAATATAAGCTTCATGAGGAAAAGTACTATACAATTTTTTTGCTTACTGCTATACCCCTGTACCCAAAGTCAACAGCCAATAAATACTTGTTGAATAAAGAAAGACAATTCATGACAATGAGTCTCAGTTTCTCGTCTCTAAAGTAATGGTGTTGAACTAGACAATTTCAAACCATCCATTCCCGCTCTAAAATTCTCTGATTCTAATTAAATACTGTAAGTGCTTTATACTGCAGATGGGTTAAATATTTTTAAATACTTCTTCTGAAGACAACGCCTAAATGTATTTAGCCTGTAGATGTTATAGTTAAAGGGTCAAAAAAAACTTTTAAATTGGTAAGCAATTGCCATCTAATTTATGATGACCAGTTCTCCAGTTCCATAGATACAGGGTTAAAGACATATGCTATACCCCCAAAGAAAAGCATTTAAGTTAGCTTGAAAGCACTCTACAAGTGATCATTAATACCATAAAGTTATTTGGGAGTGGTAGGGACAGGGTTAGCAATATTATAAGTAAATTTTGTCCTTCTTAATATTCCATCCCAACATGTCTGTCAGTTTGTCATACTTTGGTGGCTTGCGTGTTGCTGTGATGCTGGAATCTATGCCACCGGTATTTCAAATACCAGCAGGGTCACCCATGGTGGACAAATTTCATCAAAACGAGATGGAAGGAATATACAGAGACACTGTACCAAAAAGAATTGGCTGACATTCAACCATTTCAGGAGGTAGCATGTGATCAAGAACTGATGGTACTGAAGAAGAAGTCCAAGTTGCACTGAAGTCATTGGCGAAAAACAAGGCTCCAGGAATTGACGGAATACCAACTGAGATGTTTCAACAAGCAGATGCAGTGCTGGAAGCACTTACTCATCTATGCCAAGAAATTTGGAAGACAGCTACCTGGCCAACCACCTGGAAGAGATCCACGTTTGTGCTCATTCCAAAGAAAGGCTATCCAACAGAATGTAGAATTATCGAACAATATCATTAATATCACATACAAGTAAAATTTTGCTGAAGATCAAAGCAGTTGCAGCACTACATCGACAAGGAACTTCCAGAAATTCAAGCTGGATTCAGAAGAAGATGTGGAATGAGGGATATGATTGCTGATGTCAGTTGAATCTTGGTTGAAAGCAGAGAATACCAGAAGTATGCTCACCTGTGTTTTATTGACTACGTGAAGGCATTCGACTGTGTGATCATAATAAATTATGGATTACATTATGAAGAATGGGGATTCCAGAACACTTAATTGTGCTCATGTGCAACCTGTACTTAGATCAAGAGGCAGTCTTTCAAACAGATCAAGAGGATACTGCGTGGTTGAAAAACAAGACAGGTGTGCATCAGGGTTGTATCCTTTCACCATACCTATTCAATCTGTATGCTGAGCAAATAATCCAAGCAGCTGGACAACGTGAAGAAGGAAGGGGCATCAGGTTTGGAGGAAGACTCATTAACAATCTGCAATATGCAGATGACACAGTCTTGCCTGCTGAAAGTGAAGAGGACTTGAAGTACTTATTGATGAAGATCAAACACCACAGCCTTCAGTATGGATTATATTTCAACATAAAGAAAACAAAAATCTCCACATCTGGACCAATAAACAACATCATGATCAACAGAGGAAAGATTGAAGTTGTCAAGGATTTCATTTTACTTGGATCCACAATCAACGCCCATGGAAGCAGCACTCAAGAAGTTAAAAGATGCATTGCATTGGGCAAATCTGCTGCAAAAGATCTCTTTAAAGTGTTAAAAAGCAAAGATGTCACTTTACGAACCCAAGCCATAGTGTTTACAGTCGCCTCATATGTATGCGAAAGCTGGACAATGAATAAAGAAGACCGAGAAGAATTGCTACCTTTGAACTATGGTGGTGGTAAAGAATATTGAATATACCATGGACTGCCAGAAGAAGGAACAAATCTATCTTGGAATAAGTACAACCAGAACGCTCCTTAGAAGCAAGAATGGTGAGACTTCATCTCACATACTTTGGACATATTATCAGGATGGACCAGTCCCTGGAGAAGGACATCATGCTTGGTAAAGTACAGGGTCATAGAAAAAGAGGAAGACCCTCAATGAGTTGGATTGACACAGTGGCTGCAACAAGGGTCTCAAGCATAACAATTGTGAGGTTGGCGCAGGATGGGGCAGTGTTTTGTTCAGTTGTACATAGTGTCGCTATGAGTCAGAACCAACTTGATGGCGCCCAAAAACAACTCTTCCATACTTTCTTTTGTTTTTCCTCTCTCATATTCTGAGGCCAAGTACACCCCACTACCTGCAACAAAATGCTCCGTGCCTTCTTTCTCCCCAGTGGTTGTCCCTGTATTGCTGCGGCTGCTGTTGTTGTTGCTGCTTTCAAGTCAGCCCGAACTCATGTTGACCAATGCACAAACCAAAAACCCAAACCCATTGCCATCGAGTCTATTCTGACTCATAGCATCCCTATAGGACAGAGAAGAACTGCCGCATGGTGTTTCCAAAGAGCAGCTGATGAATTTGAACTGCCAACCTTTTTGTTAGTAGCCAATCTCTTAACCACTGCGCCAGCAAGGGTCCAAAAGAATACGGAAAGCTTCACAAATTTGATTGTCATCCTTCTGCAGGGCCATGTTAATCTTCTCTGTATTGTTCCAGTTTTAGTATATATGCTGCTGAAGCAAGCACAAGAGATCAAAATGTTGCCTGGTTTTGTGTCATCCCCATGATTTGTTATAGATCAGACCATTATGATCCATAGGTTTTCATGGGCTGATTTTCAGAAGCATATCTCCAGGTCTTTCTTCCTTGTCCATTTTAGTCTGGAAACTCCACTGAAATCTGTTCAGCATCATAGCAACACACAAGCTTCCACTGACAGATGGGTGGTGGCTGCACATATGGTGCATTGACTGGCAATCAAACCCAGGTCTCCTGTATGGAAGTTGAGAATTCTCCACCAATGCGCCTGACTCATAGCAAGCCCATGTGTGTCAGAGTACAACTGTACTCCATGGGCTTTTTTTCAATGCTGATGTTTAGGAATTAGATCTCCAGGCCTTTCTTCTGAGTCATCCCTATGCAGACTCAAACCTCCAACCTTTCAGTTAGCAGCTGAGTATGTTAGCCATTTGCACCACCCAGGGACACCCTATATTACAGCATGCCCAAAAAACACCTGAGTAATGCCTTTACTATACTATAAATCACCATCTTCTACTTTTCCATTAAAACTTACCTGCCCTTGCTTCTATTTCTTCAGATCCCTGATCTTTACTGGGTGTCAATGTTTGTAGTAGGTTATTAACAAGAAAACTCATCCATTCTAATATGTTATATAGTTAATTAATGTTACTTCCCTCAAGATAATAGGGCATATGTCCTCTTAAAGGCTTTTAAGAAATGACAGTAATGACAGAAATTTCAGGCACCACTGCAGACTGATGAGGGAGATAGATTTTAAAGCATGGGGGCTTCTCATTGATCCTCAAATTATTCCCCCTAGGCAGCTGCTGAGTATGCCCATGAGTAAGCCAGTCTCTCTCTGGAAAACTTTATAAACAGCATGAATTTCACTGTTTGACATGGGTGAAGCATAGTTCTCCCTGCAAATAACCTCTTTTAAGGTATCATATGTTTATGACGCTATGGTTTAGATCTTAAGACTAGGAAAGATACTCCTCACTCTGCAATCAAACAGATCAGCCTGCTATGGATAACAGACAAATTTGGAGGTCTCTTTAAGTTACCAGGTAATTTACTTATCATTGTCATTTTGGATTCCAATTTAAGCATATACACTGATAGAAATGAAAGAGAAAGCTGAAATCCCATTGTGTGTCCTGCTCTCCCGGAGCATAATTTTTCCCTCCATCTGTGAATCTCCTGTTGATATCAGGGGAGTCACCACGTGCAGAGAGGGGAGGCATATGCCAGGAGAGGGAAGCCCATTATGTAGTAGAGAGCTAATTTTGCTTAATCTTCTTGATCTTCATAAAGAGCATTCTAAGACCCCATAGGGTTTAAACAAAAAAGATTAAGATGAAGAGGGACCGCTCAGGCAGAGCCAGTGTAATACTTATTTATTAATGCCGTCCATCACAGTGTGTTTATGTGCCTAACCAAAATTTAAAACTGTCTGATTGACACCAGAGGAGCGAAACCAGCTCCTGTGTCAGGGCAAAACAGACTCACTTCATTCCTACATACTTCCATTTGGAAAACAAAATGAACAAGATGTGCACAAGAGTAAAGACTTGTGCTTTCATTTAAAATGAAAAGAGAGATAAGTAAAAACAAATCTGTGGCCCCAGGTTTATCCTTAAAATGAACCCTCATCTTGACGGAGACTCCTGTATTCTGATGTTGTTATTGTGACTTGCCATTCCAACTCATAGCGACCCCATGTGTGCAGAGTAGAACTGCTCCGTAGGGTTTTCAAGGCTGTGGCCTTTCAGAAGGAGATAGCCAGGCCTGTCTTCCAAGGTGCCTCTGGGAAGGTTGAAACACCAACCTTTCAGCTAGTAGTTGAGCGCTTAATCATTTGCATCACCCAGGCAGTCCTCCTTGTTGTGAAAGTAGAATTAATGTTAATGGAGCCTTATTCTTCACCTTACTCCTGCTCTTTCTGGGCAGAGGTAGGTGAATGCTTGAGAGACAGAATCCAAAAAGGGGAGTGTATCCTCACCGCTTAATAGACCAACTTCAAGTAGAATCGTTGAATCACAGAATCGCAGAGTTGGAAGATACCTTGAAGGCCTCTAGCTCAAGCAGGAGGTAATGCATTTTGTGCTTGAACTCTTCCAGTGACAGAACACTCATCAACCCCTCAGACAGATAGTTTAAGTTTTCAATAGCTTAGCATATTAGGAATTTCACCCTTATAATATTCTCAAATCTATGCCCTTTTAATTTTTACTTATTGGTCCTACTCTGCCCCTTGGAGCCAACCAACCACACAGAACAGATCTAATGTTTCTTGCATTTTATGGGCTTTCAAATATTAGGAGATAGTTTTCTTTGAATACCACCACCTTTTCTTCCTCAGTGGCTTAGTATGCAGCTTTATAGCTACAATACCATTGCAGAAAGCTTTCCAAACTTGTTGAAGCCTTCTGCCTTCCAAAGACCTACGTCGTGTAGTTGGAGTTATGTTTTCTCTGAAATTTTGAAATTTGGGTGCTTGGATTATCCGTAAGATTAGCTACTTGGGCTAACAATTTTTAATTTTATGAAATTAAATTTGAATAGGAGGGCAAATGAAGTCCTCATGTATCTTCGAATCCCATATAACACCTGCACCTGGCACTCATATACACAACGGGCTTGAAAATTCATAGAGTGAGTAAACGAATAAATGAAGAATCCTTATATTCTAATACCGGCATAGGGCTTGACATCTTACAACAAGAGTTAATCCATTTTATGAGTGTCACAATAAAGCTAAGAGGTCAGTGGAGGAAGTATTATTATCCCAATCTTATAAATGAGAAAACACAACTAAGAAATATGGATGAAAAGTTTTTTATTGGGACAAAGGCAACTTTAGGCTCACTCCACCTAAATCACTGCAGCACAACTTTACAGGACGTCAAAAGAACAAGATTTCCTTAAAATACTTTTTCTTTAAAGACAAGTCACTAATTTCTACTGTGTATTTTTATTTTGATATCTGGCATTTCTTGGCTAGAGGGGAAATATCTAAGACTGTTTCTCCTGATGTTATGCAAAAGCCACAATAACAAGCTATGCTTGCATTAAAAACTCTCAAATTTTTTAACAATTGACATTAGAGTTAAAGTAAGAAAACCACTCTTTTTTAGATGAGCTATATAGAGGAAGTAGAGATACATTTTTATGAATCTATTAAATAAACATTTATTGAGTCTACTGTGTCCAGAGTTACTTAGAGTGGTTAACGAGAGACACAAAGAATAAAAGATGAGGGCACCACTCCATAGGGAAGCAAATGTATACTAATGGGATAAAGTTTAAAGAGTGAAGGCTTTCTGGAGAAAATCTTAAAAGAATTGTAATTAGAGAAGGCAGAAGAAGTACATTCCAGGTAATCTACATGAGCTGGCTGGCCTTAGATAAGCTATATAAGGAGGATCGGATGTGTTCTGTGGTTCCTTCATCTTCCATCCATCATCTGTCTTATATAACGTCCACTGTATCTCACTCCATGATGTTAGAGGTCTATTGGTGGAGGCCAATGGAGGAAGGAACACTTAACCCACAGTGACTGAGAGCTCTCTTGCTATTGTTTCCAAGACATTCAGCGACTTGCTGACGTACACACCAAATTACCATGACGTGAGCTGTCCCCCTTTGTCAGCTGCCAGTGATTTGCTAGGAGCATTTTTTGGAGTGCCTGGGAGGTGTTCTAAGGTCCCCAGGTGGTGCAAACAGTTTGCCCTGGACTACTAACCAAAAGGTTGACCGTTTGAACCCACCCAGTAGTGCAATGGAAGAAATGCCTGGTAATCTGCTTTCATAAAGATTACAGCCAAGAAAACCCTATGGAGCAGTTCTACTCGTAACACATGTGGTCGCCATAGTGGGAATCCACTGGACAGCAATAGGTTTGGTTTGGTTTTTGGTTAGGAGGTATTCTAGGAGTCCTTGGGTGGTACAAATAGTTAAGCATTTACTTACTAACCAAAAGGTTGGTGGTTAGAAACCCACCTAGAGGCACCTTGGAAAAAAGACATGGCAAAAATACTTCAAAAGGTCACAGCCTTGAAAAACCTTATGAAGTGCAGTTCTATTCTGAAACATATGGGGTGACCATGAGTTGGAATTGTTTTTGATTTTTTAAGGTGTTCTCAGTGCCAGGTGCTCCTGGTTTGCACAGTATTCACACTCTTCCTTCAGCCCTGGAAGGCTGGCTATCCCTCCAGCTCTCTGTCCTGCTCTGCCACAGCTCTCCTGCTTCCAACTCTGCACCACTCCGAAATGGGGAGAAAATCCATCCCCATATGCATTCAGGCCAGATATATGTGCTACCCAAGTACAAAGAACCCCCCTCATAGGTCACCTACATCCAATCATTCTTGCAATTAAATAGCCCCAAAGAGGGAGGCCATCGTCTCGTCTCAGATAAAGTCCAGTTGGGACCTCCCACTGCTTACTCAAAGTTTGAGGCACTAAAAAAATTTCTGAATCACTTTTCCACTCCCACTTCCTGCCTAATGACTCCCCACCCCTTTAAATTTTAATCATCCTGCTCACTTGACAATTCTTAATTCCTACTTGTATTTTTCTCTCTATCTCTGTCAAACTTCTCTAATTTAAAATTCAAACCTGGACCCAATGTTCCCTCGAAATCATTACCAGTACCATTTATTCATAATGAATTGGCTGTTTGTTTGCTTGTTTGAATTCCTACAAATAAGAGGATTTCCATAGCTTCTCCAATGCTCCACAAATATTTCACGAGCATTACTTGCCAAAATGAGACTGTCATCCTGGTAAAAGGCTGTTTGGCATACATGACATCAAAGCATTTTCAGACTGCTAATATCTGTTAGATACCCAGGGCATGGCTGACTGATTACTGCAGATGTAGGGAAGGGGTGTGGATTTTAGGCTTAATCCCAGCTCCCCTCCGTCTCCCATGTTGCGGAACAAACTAGCAGACATCATATGACAATTGAGTGTAACAAATTATCTTGACACAGCTCCTA